TTCTCTTTGGAATCAGAAGGGTTTGTGTGTGCACTTGTGTGTGTACTTATTCTTTAACATGCTATCTACATTTATACCAAAAACAAATTCTTTTCTTTTTCTTTTTTTTTTAAAGATTTATTTATTTATGCATGCAAGAACTGGGGTAAAGGCCAGAGGTACGGGCGGGGGTCGTGGAGGGGGTGAGGATTCACCAGAGACAGAGTGGGGAACAGAACAGGCAGACTGACTGAAACACACTGCTGAGGGGAGCAGCAGGAGAGACAGGAGAGGTCCACTGTGCCGTATGGGTTGCTCCCTGGCCGGCCAGGGATGGAACTCTTGCTGTAGAGACTGCGGGTAGCTTCATAGTGCTGTGCTTAACCCCTTGCGCCATCAGGGAGGCCCTAAAAGCAAATACTTTTCATTGTAATCTTTGTGAACTTTTAAGTAATATAATACTTTTGTGTCATTATTTAGTTTGATTTAATAATAATTATTATTACGTATAATTACTATACCTCAATATGATAGATGCATATATATACATATAGTTGATATATATACAGATGTGATATGATGTATTTATATAGATATAGATAACAATTGGAGGTATAGAGATAAAGATAGTAATCTAAATATAATGATAACTCTCACACTATAAAATTCCTGGAGGCATGTATCACTTCTGGCTTACCACTCTACTACCCCATTCCCCAAATCTAGCAAAATTCCTGCCACATGTCCAGTAATCAAGAAGTGTTGTAGAGTAAGTAATAATGTATATAATACAATGCTAAATATTTAACTATTAATAGAATGAAATTAAAGTTGCTCTAGAATGTCCCTAGGATATTTTCCAGAAAATCCATTGTGCAATGTAATCTTGAGTGACTCTTTGTGGAATATAAACCATAGATTCTAGGGGTTTTTTAGAGATTTATTTTATTTATGCCTACAAGAACTAGGGTACAGGCCAGACGTGATGGGGGTAAGAAGATTCACCAGAGACAGAGTGGGGAGTAGGACAGGTGGCTCTACTGAAATACACTGCTGAGGGGAGCCATAGGTGAGACAGGAGAGGTCTGCTGAACCATGTGGGTTAGCTCCCTGGCTGGGGATTGAACTCATGCGTGTCTTTAATCCCTGTGCCACCATGGAGGCCCCATAGTCTAGTTTTTTGCTGGCCAAAGCAACATGCCCTCTCCTGGATGACTGGTCGTGGGAACAGTGCTTAACTGAGGGTTCTTTTTGTATAGGCTTTCTTGACCATAGGGTCATAACAGCACAATTGATCTCAGGTCTTCATTTGGTTTTGCACCAAATCAGATTATCTCAGTGTCAATCTAAGGGATTAGTAAACCAGCACAATGCCCCAAAACTTCCCTGGGGCTAATTTTCTTCTGCAGGGAGCAGTTTCAGAGTGTGCCACATGATGAGTGGAAGAAAATCAGTCAGCCCAGTACTGAGTGTCCATTGAAGAATCAATCCCTGAGCGCTAGCCTCTAGAAATTTTAAGTTATATTCTGTATAAAGATTGTTAGAAAGTTATACACTTGAGCAATATTTTGAATCTTTTTATTAGATTACAGTTGGTATTATGTCTTTGTCTCCATTGATGAATTATAAAACAGCCTACTGACAGATGGAAAATAAAATCTGGCTTATTATTAACTGAAATACCATGCAGCTGTGCAAATGACAGGATACCACAGTATTAGGGATGTGGCAAATAGCAAAATACAACGCTAAACAAATGAGACAATGAACAAAAGAATACAGCCAGACCAGTTCAATTTAGATGGATTAAGAAAATTGTAAAAGATAATATATAGATCATTTATAGGTGAATAATAAAAATATAAAGAAAAGCAAGTGAACTATGTACAAAATTTTAAGAACTTCATTATTTTCTCATAATAAAGGGACATGCTATCAGAGAAGGATAAGCAAAAGACCTCAAAATGATTGGTTTTATTCTAGTTTTTATGATGTTTAAGTTGATTATTGGCATCTCTGTGCCTTTCACACATTTTACCTATCTGCATCTGCATATTAATGTGCATACATGTAACATAATAAGAGAGGAATCAGAAGTGTCCTCATGGAATTGCAATTGTGCAGCCAGGACATGAGCGGGGGACTCTGCTTTCACAGGTCTGAGAACCAGGAAAATTTGTTTCCAAGGAAAAACTGCTTTGTTTTAAACTTTTGAACTCTCATAATGAAGCTTATTTCTTCTTTGTTCTAGTCAAAAGAGAGCTCAGAATACAACATGTGAACCATCTGAATGAACTGAACAGGATCATGTTCTCGGCCTTTCTCATGTGGTCCTGGCTCTCTGTGGGCCTCTACCTCTGCTCACCATGCAATTGTATTCAACGCCTGGAATAGCGCACCTCCTGGAAACAACCCAGGTGGCCTCCTCTTTGCCTCCCACCCTCACCAGGTTTCTCCCATTCCTCCTCTTCCTCTCCTTCAAGGGTGAATTACGTCAGGTTCATTTAGAAGCTCTGGGTTTGTCCGAGAAATAGGGGGAGAAGCTGAGAGGAATTGCTGCATGAACTGGTATTCTGTGGAATGGGAGGATTTTATTCAACTCATTTCTCACATGACTTTGATGAAGATTGACATGAGGCCTTTCAGGTGAGTAATGTAGCATAGTGTGGGCCTCTCACATAACTTAAAATTTATAACTAATGCTCTCAGTGCATTGGCCTTCCATTAGGCTCTCTGTCTTTCTCTGGAGGATAAGCAATAAGCTTCCAAAGCCTCTAATACTTTCTAAACAGCTTTTGTTGTTTGCATTTTTAATTTTGCTCTGTTTTTCTAAAACACCAGCCTGATGACGCCATCTCTTGCTTGTAATCCGTTCCCCACCAGCTCCAGGAGCAGCCTGGGCTGGCCTGTCTTTATGGAGAATCCACAGCCCATCTTTCTTTTTCACCCTGTGCCATCTTCCTTCTATCTAGTCAGGGCAGTGAGTGACATTCATAAATCACAAGGCTCTTCCCCACCTTCCACCGGTTCTGCCACACGCAGTCCATCCTCTTAGGGGCCTCAGTTCTCTCCAGGAATCCCACCTGCGGTGTCAGCTGAGCATGTCTGTCCTCACGCTCTTTGCATGGTGTTAACACTTGCATTTTGCATTTTACCTCTCCTGGATTAATCCTATTTTGTTTGTGTTTAGAAAGCTCAGGTCATTTTCAGCATACCCATGTTGAAGGAAGAAAAACATTAAAATGTACACATTTACAGCACTTGAATTCTATCAGTCCATTAGGAGAAATGCTGACAAAATTGTAATAATGCCATTCAAGCATTTTTGAATAAACTAGAAGCCCAATGGACTCTTATTAGGCTAATGTCACCATTACATTCAATCTAATGCACATTATCTGGTGTCTCACTTCTCTGAATGACCTAATCGTAAGCATGGGGGATTTGTGACACATTGTATTAGAAAGAAAAATTTTAAATCAGGCTAAAATGGGGGAATGGCTCTGATTCAGAAGACGAAGGAATCATTCTAGAAGAGATGTCATCTCAGAATGGAGGGCTGAACTCCTCTTACACAGACTAAATCAAATGAATGGATAACTTTGGGGGATTCTAAAATTATCTGTATGGCTCTGCTGTCTGTGGGCTAGAAGTCTGCAGAAAACTCCCAGAGAACTGCTGAAGTATGAGAAATGTCAAGAAACCACTCCAGGGCACTATTAAACTAACAAGGAAGATTGAAACCACTCACGCATGTTAGAAGAATAACATCAGTCTCAAAATCTTTTGTCATTAAAAATGAAACAGATACATTACATAAAACTTGTTCAAGTGATATGATTTAAAATTTAATTTGTAAACCATCCAGGACAATTTAAACATGGTAAATTTTATTATTACTATTTTTAATATTTGGGAGATAAATAGTAGTATTTATAACAAACATATATTACTAATTTGTAAGAACCCTATGGGGTAGGTACCCTAACCTGAATAAGTAAACTGAGGCACAGGATGATTACGTAAAATAGGTAAAGTTGGAATCAGAACCAAACTTCTTTACTCCAGATAGAAGAATCGAAACAAATAGTAGAAATAGTTGGGACTGGCAGCTTATTACATCAGTTAAGTCCATGTGGCTAAAGCAGAGATGGTGGTTTATCAAATCACATGGTGAATTTAGTTAAATAAGGTAAGAAGAGATTTTCAATTTCCTGTTAAATTTCTGTATTTTCATCTGACTTTGTTGGGGGAAGCAAAAGAGTGCCAAATTATCTAGGTTGACCATTAAATAATACAAATAATATTGACAAACAACCAAGTGCAGCCCTTTTACATTGTTAGACTGAACTAAAATTCCAGCAGGCTCAATAAAAATGGTTTAAGAAACTTACACTCAACCAGATTCTGTAATAGAAATAAAGAGGCCTCTCTAAGCAGGTATGATGCTAACATTCAAAAGGGAGTTTAATTTCCATGGGAATGAAATATTAAGGGACCAATACATCATGAAGCCTTTACTTGGCCTCAGTAAGATTGAGGTGCTCTTTGGATGTGGCACTCTCCCCCAGTAACTTATAAACCTCTCTTCCCAATTGTAGGAGTTTTGGAAAACACCACAATTTATGTGACTCCAATTTTCAAGTTTCATACCATTGTCTCAAATGCAGACAACATAGAAATGTGATTTCCCATGAAGTTGGGATTTAAGACAATCCTAAATACACATAATTAAAACAGAAAAATGCAGGATGATTTCAATGTTAGTTCATCCATTTATATGGATATTTTATGGGAAAAAAAAGATCCAAAGAGATAACTATAAATATAGATGCCTTAAAAATAGCTATCAGTCTTCTGGAAGGTATTTGGGTATAGTGGAAATGCAATAACCATACTATAGTCTACATAAATGGATCAGAAAAAGTCACACCACATTATAATCTACATGAATTAATGAGCGTAGCAGGCAGGTTGGAAGTCTGCACTGTAGATGTAAAAGTCAAGTAAGTCCCATAGATTTTAATGATCTTCTGAAGTCCACCATATCCACTAAACCCACTAGGAAACCTTTGAAAAGGTTAGTAAGTCAAACACACTCTCCTGCCCTAATGGTTGCCAGGCAACATCATCAATTCTTTAAAGACCATAGGTACAATGCACAACTCAGTAAAACCAAATCCGCCGATGCTGTGATCCTTTCCTCTCCAGGACCATCTTTCTGCTCTCTGTTGTGCCAAGTAGGCAAATCCTGCAAAGAAAACAGAGCTGAGCCTCTTTGTTACCAGAGTAGCTTATCTGTGCCCTATTTTCTTGAGTCAATGACTTGTGAACTTGCTCTTGCTGATTGCAGCTGTCTGTAAAATAAGTTCCCACTATGATCAATCTAACTTCTGCCTACATTTGACAAGCATAAAATTAATTAAGGGACCAGTTTCATTTTAATCAAAAATTAACATTTAGAAACTAAGTAATCTAAAAAAAGACTTGAAAATTCAGAAAGCTGCCTGGTTAAGAAAACTTTTATATAGTTTATGTAGTAGAGGAAGGAGGAAGAAATTATTTATTTAAATTTGACTCTTCTCAGGACTTATAAGGCCACAATGAGTCAATGTAATTTTCAAAACATATCTAGAGAAAAAAGGTGACAAGTGATTTAATATTGCACAATAGCTCAGCATTAGAGAGTTATTAACATTTATTAATATTCAAGAAAATAATACATCAATATATTTTTAATAAATAATTGGGAATATATTGCTAACTTGAACAAAATTTAAATTCATTTTCACAGATGTATAACTTATATTAATACAATTAGCAGACTTAATTGCATGTGTACATTTTCCATGCAGTAAAGTTTTATAAAGCAGATAAAATATTTACAAGAGGAAAATATGCTAAAAAGTGTTAAAACTATATCATGGGCAATTTTCAGTTAGATATCAAATTTGTTTAAGACAGGATTAGCTCTTTGAGGTTTTATTCATTAGGATTAAAAAACTGGTTAATGTTAAATGGCATGATGAATTCTCTAACTCAGGACAGAATAAGACTGTTTTTACTATTTTGCCCACATATTGCTGAAAACTCTTGACCATGTATGTTAACATTTGCGTCATTCTACACAATCTCAATCAGGTTTTCTTCAACTTTTGGTCTTCATTCTTTTCAAAGACCATCAACACCTATTCTTTTTAATCTATTAAATTTAATCTAACAACGGGAAGGGTTTTTTTTTGAAGGTCCTTATTGACAAGTACTGTTTGTTATACATTTGATGAAGTAAAGATGAATAAATCCAATCACTTCTTTCCAAAAGATTACAATCTAGGCTGCAGAAATCGATAATTCTAATATGAAATATATTTGACTATATTCCCTGCAGGGACTTCAGTCTCTTGTAATGTACACCTTTAATTATAAACAAATACTTTTTGGATGTGGCCAAGGGATGATAAGATCTGGCTTTAGAAATTGTCTTTACATGTAATGAAAAGGTATACAAAAGCTATTAAGCGGATATCTGAGAACCTCTAGCTGAGCCAGATGCTGTCGCTGGCGTGCAGATGTGATGGAGAACACGCTTGTTCTTTCCACATGGAGTTGGAAGTGTGACTAAATTTAAAAATGAGAGAATAGAACCAACATCTCAGCTCTTCCTCCTCTGCTCCTAACGAAGAAATAATAACCCAGTTTTCTTCTCGATTGCCTCATCTGCACACGTCACACAGAACAGATGGGTGTTGCAGGGGAGAGGTGAGCAGAATGGAAAAGCATATGCTTTCAGACTTCCTCCAAATTTCCCTTTACTGTCCCTTCCCATAGCATGATGACCACTAGCCAACCTCAGCTGTTCCTTGTTCTCTTCAACGACTACTCTGGAAACTGACTTCCTGTCTCCAAAACTAGAAAGAGTTCATCCAGACTGGGACCTCTCCCACTTATGCTGACTCATGCTCTCAGATAAGACATCTAGCTTTCTTTGGATTGAAGATGCTGTAACACTCACCTCATTCAACTGATGACATGATTTACTCATACAGTGGTATCAATAATGGAAATAGCTAATAGTGAGCATTTGCTAATCCCAAGCTGAGAGTTGTGCCTTTCACATGGCATGTCTCTTTCTGTCCTTACAATTACCTATGAGGTGGGCAGACCTAACATCCTCATTTTAAGTGAGAAACTGGACTGTATGTGGATTAAATTGCATGCCCTTAATTACACGGCGAGTGAGAGAAATGCCATCTCTGCCTAGACAGCTGTCTCGGGGGTGTGGGATCTTTGTACAGCTCTCACTCAGATGCAGCTGCTGAAACCGCGAAGGGCACTTAGCTCATGTCATTGTTCAAAAAAGTCCTTCTGATCCATCCATTTTTTACGTTAATTTATTTTGAACTTGAGATTGCTGAGTGACACTTGGGACAAAGAGGAGCCCTCTACCCTGGTAGTGGGTCTAAGCCAGGGCAGAGATTTGAAGCCCCACCCCCACTGTGCCTTCCCCACTCCACGACAGACAGACGTGGACCTGAGAAGGCTAAAGGTCTAGTTTCCCTCTACAAGATTAGTGGTCTGCTACTCTTCAAGAGGGTCTGGTCAGGATGCTGCTCATCTCTGTGCCAGTTGCCTGCAAATCTTTATATTTCTGCTTCTATAGAGATCTGCCTCTCCCAGTAGGATTACCAGGAAATGGTTTTCCCTTGCTCGAAACTAGCTAGACACTCTTCATAAAAATCTCTTTGAATTCAAATGATGCGTTCTACCTTGACAAGTGACTTTACAGATGAGAGAGAGAGAGAGAGAGAGAGAGAGAGAGAGAGAGAGAGAGAGAGAGAGAGGAGGGAAGGAAGGAAGGAAGGAAGGAAGGAAGGAAGGAAGGAAGGAAGGAAGGAAGGAAGGAAGGAAGGAAGGAAGGAAGGAAGGGAAGGAAGGAAGGAAGGAAGGAAGGAAGGAAGGAAGGAAGGAAGGAAGGAAGGAAGGAAGGAAGGAAGGAAGGAAGGAAGGAAGGAAGGAAGGAAGGAAGGAAGGAAGGAAAACTAGACTCCAAGCTCTTCAGTATTTGCAAATGCCTAGAAGATGTCACAGAAAGAGTTTCACTTTCCAGGGATGGGCAGCAGTCATGACATGCTTTCAAGCCTCATTCTCATCCATTTGGCAACTGGCAAAATAATTTCCATCTCTTCCATTTCATGACATGTTAATATTTAATCAAACGAAAGCATGGACAAGAGGCATGGCATGTTGGTTTTTGAAGGTTTTGTCTAGCCATAGGACACTTTAAAACCGATCAGTGTCCATTCTTCATTTATAAAATAGGAGTTGTAATAAATACATTAACATCCTCACTGATTATAGGAAAATGATTAGTTTATATAAAATTTATATCAACGGTATGGTTATTTTATTAGAATTAAAAATTCATCCCTACAGTGCCCTCGGCTTAGACATTTTCTAAGTAGGTACTCGGGAAGCATTTATTTGCCATATAAAACTTAGCTGTGTCACGCTGTGACTTCTCAGGTACACGCAAGAAAGTAAGGGTTTTCCAACTACATATTCTCCCACAGCATACATTTAATTCTGGCTAAAGTGGAGATAAGAGAAAATAAGAAATTAAATTTTCATCTCTGAATTCTTCATGCAGTTACATAAATTCCTGGCAGTATCATTAGCCACAAATAAGACTTATGCAAATTGCACTCTGAAATGGAAAATCTCAGTCATGACATTGATACAATCAATAGAGTTCCTGTTATTTCATGAATCCAGAGGAAAGACTCTTCTTTAGCCAGTGTAATTTCTCCACATAAAAACAATCCATTGAAGGTGTTTCGTTAATGTAATGCTTAATGCTATGTAGAAAATGCTGATGCAGATGTTGTTTCATTAGAAAATGGGAAATTACCTTCCTTCTCAAATCTGAGTTTGATACCATATTCACACTTTCGGTTTCCGTGTGTGTCTATATTATGGCTAATTACGTTGGTGTAAAAATAGTGGAAGTAAAATTAATTTAACTTCCTGAAAGAAATGTAATCTCAATTGAATGGCTTTTTTTTTTTTTTTTTTTTTTTACAATATAGAGCTAATCTTTCCAGATAAATGGCGAGAAATAAAGCTGTACATTAACTCCTGCATCTTCTATCACAAAGATCCAAGAGTGGCATTAAAATCAGCAGAAATTTCACATAACAGAACATTATAAATATTCAATGTTCAAATTCCTTTTTTTGGATTCAAATAAAATCTTTATGGATATCATTCTAAACAGCAACCCCTTCCTTGGAAAGAGAGTGGGTCCTTTGTATTGTATGACTTCAAGCACGTCTCAGTCATTTTGAGAACAGATTAAAATCTAATCTTTCTCATGGAAAAATGACCCGATTGCATATTCTGCCACTTTTGTGTTTGACTCACTAACTGTTATCAGATCCTTCTTTTGAAGTCCTCCATCAAATCTTCTGAGATCAATGTGTTGTTTGGTTTTTTTAGTGTGTTGGGATCTTTTTTCTGGAACCTTCTGTTAATTGACTCAGATGCTTATTTGAAACAGTATTAAAAAAAATAGATATATTAGTATTCTTCAAAATAGTTATTATTAGAATCCTAATCTAGATGATTGGGGTTTAGAGGTGTTATTTGGACAGATTGCATGTCTTACTCAAATTGACTTAAAAAAATAACTATTTGCTTTTTTTTTTAATCGCTTAACTTTTAGCATTTTTTGCAGCCCAATTCTGTGCTGACATTCATTATATCAAGTGGTTTCTGTGGTCTAAGCATTGCGCTAGAATTTTCCATGTGTTGTTTCTAGCTTTGGATTTTAACCACATTTTACTTACAGGAAATAGATTTTACAAAGTTAAGTGGCACATAAAGGTCACACTGTGCAAATCAGGGATGACCCAGGACTTAAAAGCAGGTTCCTGCAAGGCCCTCACTCATGACATTGCATCAGCACTTCTTCTCCTTTCCATAGGAGCTGATCCCAGGGGATATTAGGTGATTGATTGTTATTTTTTAAAGTACCCGCAGTCACTATACTTCAAAAATGCAAACTAAATAGAACACTGTTCAGTAGACTTTTTCAACAGTAGGAATTCTTAGAGCCTTAAAATGTACTAATGTCCTTGAAAATTTCCCTAGTATGGAGTTTCCCAAACCTATCTCCTCCCTCCAAAGGGGTGGTGGGGGGGCTCCCTTCCAGATGCCCTCAGGCAGACTTTGCTTGTAGAAGTGCTCTACCTTGGAAAGCCAGCCCCTAAGAAGCCCTGAGAGTCCCCCCCACGCCCCCCACCGCCGCTTGCCTCTAAATAACCCCACTCTCTTAGCAATTGACTCTACCACATTCATGGTTGAACTCACTCATTTGCAAGTCTCATCTGAGGGGTGTCTGAAGCAGTCTGGGACCTTGGGGACCAGAGCAGAGAGTTGAGGTCCTCAGACTGAAGTGCCAATCTCTTGTTTCTAGTGAGCGGGTTCTGTGAGGCAGAAAGAAGGTAGGCCCCTTCAGGGAGGGGCAGGTGAAATGTGCCTCATCCCAAATCAGGGTATAGAGACCCCCCCACACCCAAGCCCAGAGATCATGTGTCCCTGCAGAGTGAGGTGTCCAAATTTGTTCTCCAAACAGCATCTTCAGTCAAGTCCTCAGTCCTCAGAATGCAGGTATGAAGTGGGGGCATTCCTGGGAGAACTAGCACCACACAGAGACAACTGAGAAACTTCTAATGGACTTTGCTCACTCATACAAATCACCATATCAGAAAATACCTCCTTTTGTTGTTGGTGTTTGCTTTTTGTTGTTGTTTTTTTGAGGAGAAATGATTGTTTTATTTGTGTGTTTAGCCAAATTCAGTAGAATTAAACTACTTTCCCCCTGATGTGTATGTTTCCTACAGAAGCTCTGTGACTTCTGTCTGAATACAATCTCTCTCTTTAGGCTTCCAGCAAATATGAGATTCCCCCTCTCATCCACCCCCTTAGCAACTTATATACATTTATTTGTAGTTTCTAGGAATAGAAACTAACATCATGTTTGATATTAGGTTTTACAAATACAAATGTTTCTTAATCATAATATCTTGTATCTTGACAAAAATGCTCAGAGTTTGTGTCTGAAGGATTTAAAAGGTTATTAATGCAGTCCTTGAGTTTTTCCTCATTTCGGTTTCAATTCTGGTTGTGACTAAAAAGAGAAAGGAAAACTAGGACAGAACAGTACATATGCTTAAGTCAAAGACCAAAGGCCTTGCTGTGATTAGACAAAAAGTGGGTGTGGGAAACACTTGATAGAGAAGTGATATGGAAACACTATGGGATGCTGTTCATTTAACATTTAATTGCAGCATAAACAGCACCATTTATGTCTGCCTATTTACTATTTTATAAGCTATTTCAAGATAAGTTTTTTGTAAATGGTTATAAATTCATAAACTGGTGAAAGTGGTATGTCTTGGTAACAATGGGGACTCTATACCCATAGCTGCTGAATGGGCTCTGCTTTATGGCACCTGCTGAAATGCAGAGTGGAATTTTATTCCAAAGTTCAGAGAGAAGTGTGCCCAACAGAGGGATGTATGTGTGTGTGTGTTTTCTAGGAAGACACCAAGCTTAGTACACTGCACAGCCTGTTTCCTGATCCCACCTTCCCCATCACACATGTGCACACACACACATACACAGAGACACATATGCACACATAGTCACACACACAAAATCACACAAAGATACACAGGCACATGCATACTCATGTGCACAGATGTATCCCCAAGACACGGACACACATGTATACACAGACACACATGTGAACATAATACACACAGGCGCTCAAATACACTGACACACATGCACATCTATAGACATGTGTACAACACAGAGAGACACACAAACATGTATACACAGATGCCTTGACACATTCACCAAAACACATGCACACACATATACACTTGTGTGCTACAATCATGTGTGTGCATTCTCAGACACATTTTGGAGTGTAGGGAGGGGAAAAGAATAACCTTTCCTTTCTTCTCCCCCCACCCAATATTCCAGCCAACATTTACTTGGGTCCTTGCTCAGGTGAAATCACCACCAGAAACTAAGCTAGGAATTCTGACAATTACCAGGCCCTATTACCTACCAGTGAGCTGGAGCAGAAATTAAATGAATTAATCCTTGAGTGAGAGCAGGGATCAGACATCAGATACAAGATCTTGTTGGCCAGGGTGACCTCTGCATTCCCCTCTCACATGGATTCAAGTTTCCTAAGGCAGAGAAAACTGCCCCAGATTTTACCAGAAACTCAGTCTTGACTAAACGAAAGCAAAGGAGTAGTAATACAGCGACTTCCCTGAGGCTGTCACCTTAAAGCCTGACTCTAATCCTATAGTTTGAACTCTCGCACCAGTGAGGGCTGGGTGCACAGAAGCGAGGGAGGCCCCAAACCCAGTCACTTTCCTCCCATAGCAGGTGCCAGTCACAGCTCACTGTCCCCACATCCACTGGAGCGCTGCATAAGCTCCTCACTCTCACCCAGCTCACCACCCAGTCTCCTGCTTGTACTTCTGTGACTGGAGGCCACAGATTGAATTTAGTGTTTGCATGGGGCAGGGAGGGGTGAAGAAGAGGGAAACCACAACACAGTCATGTTTTCCTAAAAGAAAGGACCGTTGTCTCTGAGAGAAAGTTACAGAATTATTCTGCTGTGGCCACCCACGACACAACTTCTAAATACTCCGTAGGTATCTTAGTATCCTGTCTGGCTGCTGACAGAGCCCTCTCCTCCTCTTCCCCATTGTCGTCACCAAAGTAACAGCAGCCAATTTCAAGTGTTCTTCACTTGAGCTTCAGGAACATGAGATCTGGAGCAGAAGCTGGCCAGCCCCTGGCCAGAGCACAGCCAGCACTGGGGTACATGGTTGGACATGCATTGACAGTGGATCTAGCTACATGACTTGGGCCCAGTCCCTTCAGGGGAAAGCTGCCTTCCACAGTCTGTTTCATGGTGCTCTTTTATTTTTTTTTTTAAGAGTTATTTATTTATTTGTTTGTTTATTTGTTTATTTATACAAGCACTGGGTACAGTCAGAAGTGTGGGAGGGTGAGAGAATTCACCAGAGCCAGAGCAGGGAGCAGAGCAGGCAGAAGGACTGAAGTACACTGCTGAGGGGAGCAGCGGGCGGCAGGAGAGGTCTGCGCACCATGTGGGACCCTCCTCCGGTGGCCGGGGAGCAGCCGGGGATCAAACTGGCGCTACAGAGGCTGCGGGCAGCTTCACAACCCAGCGCTCAACCGCTGCGCCACCGGGGAGGCCCTCACGGTGCTCTTTTAAATACCACCGACATGTGATAGAATCCTCCAAATCTGAGAGTACTGAGAGATAAGGAAATCATGCCCTGCTACACTTGAATTCTAAAGGTACCATCTTAAATACTCCTTACTGCCCCCAGGCTGACCTGGGTCTACATCTCAACTTGAAAAACTGGAAGCTTTGCAGTCAGTAAGACTGAGGACACCACTAGGAATAGCTCACGACCAACACAAGTATCACAGCTGGAGCTCCAGGGTGTCTGCACTGCCAAGATGGCCAAGGTCAGAGCCCCATGTGCATCAATGCCAAACCCTAGGCCCCCACATGGGAAGAAGTGGTGCCACACAAAACTTCAGGCATGAGCAAGGTAAGTAGTATCTGTGCATGAAGCAGTTTTTGTTTTTTTTTTTTGTTTTTTTTTTTAAGATTTATTTATTTGTGCATACAAGAGCTGGGCTACAGACCAGAGGTGTGGGGGGTGAGAAGATTCACCAGAGACAGAGTAGGGAACACAACAGGCAGATTGACTGAAATACACTGCTGAGGGGAGCAGCGGGCCAGGCAGGAGAGGTCTGCTGTACCATGTGGGTAGCTCCCTGGCCAGCCAGGGATTGAACTCCTGCTGTAGAGGCTGCGGACAGCTTCACATTCTATGTCTTAACCCCTTGCACCACCAGGGAGACCCACAGGTATTTTTTTTAAGTCAAGTTCACGCAGAACATACCCTTTGTAATTCAGCAGCAAATTATACATAGCACAACGCAATTCCTGTGGGAACTTCCTATTATCCCAAGTTGTCCTAAGCCAGGCTGACTTTAGGTATGGTTTGGAAGCTCAGTCCTCTTGGAAACTCCCTATAAGTGTACAAGGCCATTGACCTAAATCTCCATGCTTCAGCTTTAGTTAACCAGTATAAGTTCCTTGTTTCTGCTTTTTTTTTTTTTTTTTTAGGTGCCCCACCCTCACATTGTATTAAAGGTCCTAATGAAACCTGAGGTTAAAGGTCTGTTGAAGTCCAATTGCTCAGGCTAAATTCCAATGTTTTTTTATTTTTATGATCCCTGGTCTTCCTCTGGCAACCTTATCTCCCCAAAATGTAACAGATACTTTTAGGTCAGAGGCTTCCCCATTCCCTCACACTGGTGCATTCTGCCCTGGGGCCCAGTACATTCCAGAAGACAGAGCCTCTGGAGCCTTTCATATCAATCCTAAATACTGACCCACTCACAGGGAGCTTTCCTTTCTCAATTCATTTCTGTTACTTTGGGCTGGAACACCAACAAGCTACTAGCACCCAGCCATAAACACATACAATCATGCAATGTATTTAAATTAGTTTATAGTTTACCTGATATCTCTATTGCAGACATGTGCCATTAACCTGGCTTTTTTTTTTTTTAAGCTCAGCTTATTTTTTATTTTTTTTTCCTTAAAGAAGGCCCAGCTTTCTATCTACTAAACTGCTTTCATGCATATTAAATGTTCAACTGTACCCATACAAAACAAAAAGCAGTATACAAAAATGATTGAATTTTTAGCCAACTGTCTTCTGAGATTGAACTTAAAGAGTGAAAAATGTTTGGGGAGAACAGGGAGCCCCCGTAACTAGACTTCAAATATTTTCAGCTCAGCTAAACAATTGGTTTGGGCACTGGTGTCTAGAATTGTTATAAACTGACAAAAAAAAATCTAACTGTATCAGATGACTATTTTGGGCATTGTTCTTATATAGAATATTTAACAAATACAAAATTATGGTCTGGATACCAGGACTACTGGATGGATATGCACAGTGCTTGCAAAACACGAAACGAGACAATAATATTAAGCATGTGTGTTTTCTAACTTCCATTCTTAATATACTAAAGTAGAAATGAAATCACCCTTTCTTCTGATAATGCATAATGGCAAGTAGAATATATATTTTTAAAAATATTTATATTACGTGTCACCTACCGAAGAAAGATTTAGCCTGCAGAATAGATCTAATTCCAAATTCTGCACTTCACTAACCAAGTGGCCTCAAGAAGTGGCTACATTTTCACCAAGTTCTTTAACAGAGACATTCATCTCTCAAGTGTCCTCACTGCTTTTGAGAGCATCAGTGAGAAAGAGTCTGAAAGCACCTTGATAACTGCATCCTAACATTTCACATTCATTCCTAAAAATATTCATGTCATACCTTGAAAAATGAAATCAATGAAATGATGAAGCAAAGTTATATTTCCTTTGAGATGTTAAGCCTTTTCTAAGGTAAGCTAGTATCAATGGAACATCAAATGGGATGCAGACACTAGAAATTCTTAGTTTCTGTGAAGACTTCATTGTGACCTAATTTCTCCTTCAATTACATGCAGTGTTTTATCACCAGGATACCAGCCTTTTCATCTAGACTTTCTTTCTCTTTGAAGAGCATCAGGTGGTGGCTGATGCTTGATCTTCTGCATGTTTAACCAGCTATCTAATCAGTATAGCTGACAGTGGTGACATCACATTTTGATAAAAAGGAGGGAAGAATAGCTGAACTTCCCAGGGACAAAGTCTGATTAAAATAAAAGTGCTTAGCATTCTTCCTCCTTTAACAAAGGCCCACACAAAAGAGGTGGCGTTAGGAAAAGAAGTTACATCTTGATTGGTTGCCAGGAAGAGAAATCCTATGTGTGTTTCCTCTAACACATAATACTCTTGATTGAACTATTATTATTTATCTTTGTTTAAAATTTAACACTGCCATAAATCAGGGTCACATAATTGTGTTTTAATTGAACAAATGTAGATCAAGGAAAGGAAGGAAGAGAGCTGGAGACAGAGACAGACACAGAGAGAAAACAAGAGAGAGAGAGTTCAGATAACATCACGACACACCAGAAACATGAAGGAATTCAAATAACCTCGCATCATTGGCAGAGAAAACCTGATATGTCTGGGAATGATAACAGTATTTTTTTTTGAGGGGGGAGCCATATTTTCATTTAATCTTAACAACTTACATCTGTCTCATCTAACTACAAACTTGACAGCCTGGATGACATAAATGGATTCTTGGGGAAGGAGCGCAATTCCTATATACTTTTAGTGAGATTCATGAAACAGATAGACTTTGGTAAAGCCCGAAATATACTGAAGATACTGAAAAACTGCAGACATGGCCACCAGCCTGAAGATAAGGTAATGTCATATTTCAGAATAGAAACCCTTGCAGTGATGTGTCTGCACGTGAGCATGAGCTCACTTGTCATGTGACAGAAGAGACATCTGTGCATGTACTTTCCCACATAGACATTCCTTGTGAGCCTCAAGAGGGAAGTGATCTACACCATATGTCATGTCAGCATTCACTGTTACAGTAATTGAATTTATTGTTTGTGAATATCTGAAGATTCACCCTGAAAAACTATTTTCATCTAATTAATTGAAAGTATATTGTAAAGTGTTTCTTTAAAAAATCCCCTGGGGTGGCATTTAGGATAATACATTTTAAAGGGAACTGTCATGACAGAGTGTGCGAAAGTGGATTCTTGTTATTGACCCAGGATCCATGGAGAGCATCATTCCAAGTCACTCTCTGCAGGATGTTAGTCTGTGGTGCAGTCAAGAGAATAACCACTTCCTTAGTAGAGAATCCAGTTCCTTCTGCCAAAGTGGCTTCTAGTCATTCTTGAAAAAAAAAAAAATTCAGTGTGAAATGTCTGTAGGCATCACTTAAGCATTAATAGTTATTTTATGGGGGGATACTAAGTGGCAACATTGATGAATAATATAAATTTAAATGATATACACAATGGAATATTATTCAGCCACAAAAAAGAAGGAAATTCTGCCATTTGTTACAACATGGATGAATCTGGAGGACACTAAGTAAAATTATAAGAGAAATAAGTCAGACATAAGGAGACTATGATCTCATTCACATGAGTAATTAAAACGAATTCATAGAAGCAGAAAGTAGAGCGATATTTGGCAAGGGGAGGGCAGATGGGGAGACATTGGTCAAGGGTACAAACTGTCAGTTATAAGATGACTATGCTCTGGGGAGATAAAGTACAGCAGTATAGTGTGGTGAATATCGTATATAGTGTACTTGAACACTGCTGAAACGTAGATCTTAATTGTTCTCAACACACAAATACTTACCATGATGATTCTGTGAGACGATGGATGTGTTAACTAACTTGATAGTGAAGATCATTTCACAATGTGTATCAAACATAACACTGTATACCTTAAATATGTATGTGTGTATATATACATGCATATATACTTTTTTTATCAATTATGCTTCAATAGAACTGGTTAAAAAAAAAAATAGCCTGTCCTAGAAATCACCTATTTATCCAGAAAAAAAAGTTACCTATATGCTTGGCACTCAAGGAGAAGGCAAATTTATTACTTTGCTGAGAGAGAAACTAGAAACGTTTGAAACAGGTGACATTTGTATTCTCTTAAGCATGGATTAATTCAACAAGCATAAGCAAAATCTACCAGGCCAGCCTACATCTTGTAGATACAGAAAAGCAATGGAGACCTAAAGGGGCTCTAACCTGGGGTGTCCTAACTACCTCAGTCCAGTGGTATACCCTAACCCTGACTGTATCAGCATAAGTATTGCAGATAGGCACTGTAAGAAATGGATTTGAGCTATTTGAACTTTGGTGACAGTGGTGGAATCACATTAGCAGGAACTTTCAAGCACTGAATCCAAACCTCCTGAAGGGACACACTGCTTAGACACCCAGAGCTGCCCATATAGCATAACCTTTCTACCTGCCTCCTTCCAAAGCCCTTGTCCCTGAGCACAGTTGTATGTGAACAAAAAAATACCATTGAATACACTGTCTCTGCCCCACATGAGCATCATGTGCCTCACTTCATCTGAAGACAGCAAACATAGGAACAAGTATTGTTTGTTAAATCAATTTCTTGAAGTATCATTTGCATACACTAAAGTCCACTCATTATAATGGTCTGCTGATGAAGTTTGATAGCTGCCTACAGCTGTGCAACCATATCCAAATCAGTGTGAAACATTCTTACTCACACAGCTTTTCACACCCACCCCTGTTCACTGAGGTCCCAGCTTCCATCATTTAATCCCTCATGGGCTTTCTCTTACTTAAGATTTGTTTTGTCTATTTTGGAACTTCACGAAATACAAATCATACAGCGTGTCTCTTTTATATCTGATTTCTTTTGCTCAACTTGCTACTGAGAGTCAAAGGGTCCCCAATGTTTTGTTCCATTTATATGACATGTTTTGGGTAATTTTCCCACCAGATATTTCTGCTTCATCAAACAAATATGAAAACTTTAATAGAATTCAAATCTCATTCATGATTTAAGAAAACAAAATGATTTAATACAGCCAGACATTGGAAAAGAATGTCCACTTTAACTTGCTAAAGATGGTCAATGTATAATCTTCCAGTCATTTTTGTAGGAATGATGAAATCAGAAGTATAATACTCAGCAGCAGAATTTGTCATATAAATTTTAACTATATAACATTTGCTAAAAATATAAGTTTTAGATTATATACACTGGATACTCTTTTACTGCATTTGAAGAAAACCTACAACTAATACATGCTTTTTAGAAAAATATATATCTGGATTGAAAGGGTATCAAAATCAGAGGAAGGGAATAAAATGAACAGATTCAACATAACCTAATCCTGGATGGAAGGAAATTTGTGCAGTAGACTGGAGGGTTTTCATTCCCATGTCACAGAAGAAAAATCATCTTCTAACAGTGCCAATAAACATAAATAAACAACCAACTAAAATCTTACCAGAAATCCAGTGCATGTATATGTCGTATGTGTGTCTCCACACGTGAGAATTCTGGAAAGAGGATACTTTGTGGAGGAATGTACGTAAGTGGACCCATATTGTAAAGTCAGTCACTTCCTGACCATTAGCTTAGAAGTCCATGTCCCTTCTCTCTAACTGTGCTTTTAACTACAATTCACTAGGATGTTTCTACAGAGCCTGCCGTGATAGAGTCAAATTAGTAAAGTGACATCAGATTAAAAAAAAAAAGCTAATCTGACTTGGGATCATCTCCATGCAAAGATAGTCTTTAAAGAAAGATAAAGGGGGCCTCCCTGGTGGCACAAGGGGTTAAGACACAACCTATGAAGCTCTCCGCAGCCACTGCATCACGAGTTCCATCCCCGGCCAGGGAGGTGACCCACATGGCGCAGCAGACCCCTCCTGACTGGCCCACTGCTCCCCTCAGCAGCATATTTCAGTCAGTCTGACTGTTCTGTTCCCCACTCTGACTTGGTAAATGCCCCACATCTCTGGCCTGTACCCCAGATCTTGTGTGCATAAGTAAATAAATATTAAAAAAAAAGAAAGGGTTTCCTCAGACCCAAGTAGTTTTCAACAAAACTGCAAGTGCCATTCCAGTTGACTTCCAGTCAAATAGGAAGTCATAAGATCTTCCTGATGAATGTGAGGGAAGCAGATTTACAAGTGGGAAAGAAATGGAAGCTGAATCTACTTTAATCTGATGAATATCCATCACACCTTCACACACTAGATCCTCTTACAGACAGACAGCCTTGGTCGGCACATGCTGCTTTCTACAAATTGAGCTGCAGAATAGGAGGTAAATGTTTTTCACTTTTCTTTTTTGATTGATGCTATTATAGCAAGTATATGATTATCAATAAAAACCAAGCATATTCCCATGCTGGTTTTCCTTTTCCTGGAAAACCATCTCCTCACTATCCATGCAGCTCTCTCTCCTCTCTTTCAGTTTTCTGCTAAAACTACTTTCCCTGTGATGGACACTTTATCTGAATCATCGCCAATTACCCCTGTCATCACTGGGGTAATCCCACAATCCAGGAACCCTCAGCAGAGTTTCTAAATAGGATACTGTCAGTCCTTTGAAATTTTATGTGAAATTGTAAATGTGGTACAAACCTTCACTTTTGTTTTTCATTTATTATCCTTTTTATTTTTAAGCACTTCATTTTTCTCTATCCCCACCTGGCCCTAATATTCCCTTGACAATTTCTCCCTCCCTCTCAGTCTCAGAAAACTTGCTGTATTGTCTGTTAACTTTGTAAATATTTTACTTCATCAAATCATCTACCATGTAAATATCCAATATTTGTCTTTGTCATTCTGACTTGTTTACTATCCACAGTTCCCTTGAACTTCTCCATTTTGCTATAAATGGCAACATCTCACCTTTCCTTATGACTGAATAATACTCCATTGTGTGTATATACCACATCTCCTTGATCAAATCCTCTATCAGTGGTCTAGGAGGCAAATACA